TGTAGAGGGCTTCATAAATGTCACCTATCATTATCATTGTTCAAATAAGTTGACTAGCTCAAGAAAGAAAGTATATCTTTAACTTATGAAAGTAGCATTGAATTGTGGGTAATAAAAGCCTACCTTGGCATCAGATGGGTGTTTAGATGGCGTTGTTATTGTAAGTATGTACACACAGTTGCCTGCTAATGAGCGACACAGAACACGCACTTTGCAAAACCTGTTTTTTACAGGATCATTACTAACATTCAATAAATAGTCCTGCAAAAAGAAATAGGATGATTTCATTAGATTTTTATTTACATATGACAATTGGAAATTATTTAATATCATCATTATCATCACTGCCATTGATATGACTTACATAATCATTATCATCATCAACAGCAAAGCAATCATTAACATTATCATCCTCACAAACATTGATATCAATATCATTACCAACATCAGCACCAACAAAGTATTCATTATCATTATTACCATCATTGTTTTATTACCGTCATAGTTGTCATTATTACCATTATCATAAATAATATTGATGTCATCTATATTATAATTATGTTATAATAATAATTATTATTATGATTACTAGCAACTGATACTATCTTCTTCATCATCATCAAGATAGTCTACATACCTGTAAGTTAGAGTAAGTGTACGGATAGCAGTGAGCAAAGTAACACGTATCATTCGCATTTGGAAAGGTACACGTCCACGTTAATGAGTAAAAGTACTTTTCACCTTTCACATCTGTACGTCTAAAACAAAAGCATTTGACAAGATAAACAAAACATCATTCATTAAAGGGAACTAGACACATTTGAAAGAGACAAAAGGAAAATTTGAACTTTTAATTACACATTGAACTTTTAATGACACTTTGTTTTGTTATAAATAAATAGTTTCCATTAGGTCTGACTTTGGTAGTAATCTATTTTTGTTACATTAAATGTGCAAGTAGAACATGAAACCTGAACAGATATATAGCACAAACCATAAACTTTCACTTTGTGCCAAACAAAGTGAAAGATAAAAGAAAATGGGAATAAATGTATTTTTTTTTCAACTATAAAGTTTAGGCTATAAAAATTTTAAAAGGCAGAAAAATATAATTCTTACTGGATATTATTCTTGTAATATTTGATGTCTTGTCCAGCCCTCCTCCATCCAATTCCTTTTGTTTCTGCATCTTGTTTTGAATACATCAATGGCTTCATACCCATGTTATATAAACTTCCAGACTGGTAGCAAATTTAGGGGAAAAAATATTAATGTTAACATTAAACACCCTGTCCCTATTTCATCGCTACTTTTAATTTACTAAAATAACAACATATTTGATGATAACGATTGTTGATGGAAATGATGGTAGTGATTCTTGATGCAACAAAAATGATAATGAAAAACAAATTAATGAAAATAATAATTTACACAACAAACATGATGATGAAAATAATAATCATGAAATGAACAAAATTACATATGTAAAAAAAATATTATGTATTGATAAAAATGTAAAGTCAATAGAACTGGTTTTATAACATTCATATGAACATCCTATGGTCTAAAGGAAATTGAATTATATGTTATTAATTACAATATATTTGCTTTGTATTTACCTTCATGAAGTTGGTGATTGTAAAGCGGTACCGGACACCTGGTCTAGTATTCTTCACTTGGAAGTAGTACCACTGTGTGTGTTTCTTTGTGTACAGATCATAACGTAATAATAGATTGTATTCATATTCTCCACTAAAATAAAAAATTCACAAATAATTAATGTTTGTAGACAAGTTAAAAATTTATGATTTGGCCCCCCCATAAAGAATTGACAACCCCTGCAAGGAATTGTGGTACTGTAATATTTATGACTTGAGAATTATGTTGACATGGGAAAAAAAATCTAATCTGTTTGAACAGATGTCTAAAACTAGCAATATGTAATCAGTCTGGTCAAACTTTTTTTAAACTTATACTTATAAGAAAGAAATCTGTAATTTTCAAGAATTGACCCATGACCTTGAAAATGGTTGCTGAGCAACACACAAAAAGCATCATAAGAAATCTTATGAGATTTAATAATTTTAGTTTCTACATACTATGTTCAATATATAAACTTACATTTTAGTAGCTTTCATGAGATTCCCACTTTCAAATCTTGATTCAAATAACAGAGTTGTATCATCTTCAGATTTTAATTTAATAGCACGGAACGGGCAACCATGTTTACTGCCCCCTACCCTCGATCTGAGAAACTAAGATAAGACATAAACGCTAATTAAAAAAAAAACACTATTAAAAATCACCAGATTAAAATGTCCTTAATATTTTTAATGTATTTGCTTTACATTTAATAATCCAGTGGCATTCCAATACAATGTCTGTGATGCAAGCCCAAACAAATTCTGCACTCTCTCACGCATACAAAAGACACAGGAAATGACTGTGCATGTACTTACATAAGATTCTTTAGTTGGTGGATTGTAAAATACTACCTTACCATCTCCATCTGTAGAGTGATGTGGTGTCTTCTCTAGACCAGCTGTCAATCAAAGAAAATATGTCACACATGAGTAAACAACAAGAATAACATTTCATTACAATTTCAGTAAGTTTTTATTTGTATTTTATAATACATTTTTATGTATTAAAATAAGTCTTCTTTAGTGGATAATGCCTAGTCCTCTATGTAGTTCACATTCATATCAAACAAAATGTATTGATTTACTGAATTATTGAATGATAGAAAAAGATAATGGTTTCTTACAAGGGACATAAAAAGATTCTTCAATGTTTGGCACAGCTGTTATGTGGGATACTCTTTCAGGTAAAACTTCCAAATCTGCAGGCCTATAAAAGAGAAGGAAAAAAAAAATATACGAAAAACTTGCATAATATTCGTATGGGCTTCATATATCAACATACAAAACTAAATGAATATTCTGAGAAAAAAGAATAAAATTAAGGCAAAAAGATATTGTTTGAAGGGTTTGCATGATGAAGTAATAATATGTTAAATGTTTGCAGTACACCACATAGATGGTTCTGAAAAATGTTGTTTTTGCTGAGAATGTCTCAACAGTTCGACTGAGAATTGCTTCAATTGCCATTGCAGAATATCTGCAGAGTCCAAACAGGTAAATACAGTACTTATGTGATTTTAAAGTGAGAACCTGCTGCTGATTCTGATCTTTTCAGAACTATCTACGTGGTGTACCAGAAGCATTTAATAAACAAAAACACATATAATTATGTACTTTTTTCACATTTCAACATATCAAACTGTACTCACATCTCCACAGCCACTTCAAGTAAGTTTTAATGTCATACAGTATGTATATTGAATTAAATTGCCACAGTTCAAATCAATTAAGTATTCTTCGACGTTTTATTATGAAAATCCTTAAATTAATTACCAGCCAATGCCAAGAATATAGGCTCATATTTGTTTCTGTTGACGAGAAAACATATCCTCATTCAAACACTGCAAGCCAATAACTAGAATAGAAACTAGACACTAAGTAATAATCAGAGCAATTAACAAGTAAAGGTAAGCCGTACATCTCATTAATTACTACTAATGACATATCAGTACATTATTAAATTAAATCTACAATGGCTTTCACAACTACATGGCTACATCTGGTAAAATGCATCACCTGCAAAAGGCACTATAAAGTAAGTACAACTACTGTACTCTTAACATACTCCTATAACGTAAAACCTCGAATAGAAGCCCAATGGGCTAATAATCTCAAGAGAAGCCCACCTCGAATTGAAGCCCTACTCTTTAGTTTGCAAAAGTAGCCTCGAAAAGATGCCCATCTCGAAATTCAAGATAGCATGCGTTTTTTTCGATATAGTACAGTACACTGCGTAAATTTCAAAGAAACAAAATATATTAAAAACATGCTTGGTTTTTACAGTAGTTTAGGTGATTTAATGCCAGTTAATACACTCCATGATACAGACTGATGTTACAGTGGCCCCATTTATTGTTTTATAGTAGTAATTTCCAAAATTTACAGCATTCATTTTTTAAAAGAAGCCCCCTCGCCTCTTTACTGTACTTTGTAAAAGTAGCCTCGACCAGAAGCCCTTCTCGAAAATAAGCCCATCTAAAGTTCACCAAAAAAAAAAGCCCAGGGCTTCAATTCATGGTTTTACGGTATACTAGTGGAAATCAATGAACTAGACTTGTGGCAAGTCTAAATCCTACGGTTCTAATATTAATCCAATCCAATAGCATTTATTGGCCAAATACATAACAAACAAGTACAGTAATGTTTACCATCTGGGCGCCTGTTGCGGACCATATTCCTTATTTAGCGCATAGAGATTCCGTGGCTCACGAAGCTTAGGAACCTAAAGGAAGAAAACAAAATTTAGGAATATTATATCCCAGTATTATTTTTGTTGGTATATGTTCTACAATGCTACATATATTTTATTAAACTGAAAGTAATATAACAATAAATAAAGATAAATATTAACCAATATTTGGCATAAACAAAAAATGTAATGAAATATGAAGCCCAATTCCTGGCAAAATTTCATTTTTTAAGATATTTTTTTATTCTGATATGTCAGAAAGATATAATTATGAAATTGCTAGTTTGAATATTATTTGAAACGAAAACATAAAACTTATGTTTAATGACACACATGTAGAATATTCTGGCTCCAGATGGATGAGATTAATTGAAAAATATGTATTTGCTTACAGTACAATATCAATGATGATTTATAATACAGTAATACCAAATTCAGTAAAACATGTTTACACTCAAAACTCATACAAAACTTGTTTATGAGAAACATGACACATTTGATTGTTATTAAAATTGACGCAGTACAAATATTTGGGTACAATATTAGAGTATTATCATGACACCCTTCTCCATGATATTAGTCAACATGCTAAACACAAAGCATTCATACCAAGGGCGTTCATAAGGGTTTCTTCATTAGCATCTATAGCAACTGGCAATATCAACTTACTAAACTATTAATTGAAAAGTATTAAATTCCAAAATATATTAATTTGCACAATAAATTTATTACTTTCTCTGAAAGGTCAGGGTTCACTTAATAAGCAGAATGATTCTTGTTCGCATTTACATCATACAATAAAATTTTACTTCCAAGGAACCACTTTTTATTTCTTATGCAAACGTGTGCTTTGTTTTGTTTTGTAACTGTTTTCCTAAATAAATAAATATTTTTTATCATTTAAACATATTAAAAATAGGAATCTAGTTTTAAAATGGATTGTTTAATTGTGTGTGTAAGCTAGTTCCAAGAGTTATTAAAGTATAGATTTAAGAAAAATAAGACACTATACACAAATTTGTCAAAATTGAAGCACTTTTAATTAGCATTTTACACTACAAGTCTATAGCATTGTATTATCTATTATGCATATTACTTGTTGGCAGTTTAGTCACATTAATATTAGCTGCCTATAGAGTTACACAAGCAAAAACAAATACATAAAATCTAGACAAGAAAGTAGATAGCCATTATGCACTTCAAGAATAATTAATGCCTTATGAAATATATTTAAATGGTTGACACAACACTCAACAAAATTTTAACAAAAGTTACTCCCATCATAGAGAGACAATCAACCAACCTACGTAAACAAATTTCAGCTGTCAATACAGTACCTTGCTTAAGGTAATTGTTTTATTTATTACAATTTAGGTCTACAATATATCTTGGTTAAATTATATAAAAATAGAAATATATAGTATATTACAGAATATTTTTCTATCTTTTTAAATGCAATTTTAAATGTTTTTTTTTATAAATGATTATTGGCAATGGTAGTCATTACCACAAATTGGGTTCATAAAATAGTAAGTTCGTGTTTGGGAGATTCAAAATTGGAAGATGTTACTACACATAGATGAGATCCTTTCACACCCCTCCCAGCACCAGTCCTTTCACACACCTGAATACAAACATTAGGCCGCATTTACTTCAAGTTCATTGGACCACTGCTGTGCTGAGAAGGGAAATGGCGTGGCTGTGATGTGGACGGTGCAACCGTCTCTCCGTACATTTCATCTTCTAATGTGCCTTGAAAGAGCAAATCCATAACTTTCATCTTAATATTATGCCTAACCCTGCGACTTTTGATTTTCCGAAAGTCTGCTTCTACGATTTTGCTGAAAAGTGCAGCATCGTCGTCTACCAGGAACGGAGCCGTTCTTTCATCTGCTGCCAATCCCGCTCTCACTGATTCTAAGCTGTCACCGGCAAGTATGATAGCGCGCTGTACTTTGATCTCGGTAATTCTTTTTTTGCTTGGTTGTCGCTTTGGGTTACTGCACGCTTTCCTCTTTAAAGGGCCACCGGAATAAATACTTGTCATCTCATCATGACTCTCTGTGTCATCTTCTTTGTCTTGGCTCAGAAAATCATCTTCATCATCATCTGCATCTGTTCCAATGAACGTATTATCAACAGCTACTTCATCCTACAGTAGGATAGAATGAGTGAATAAAATCAGTCAACTAACTTATTATTGTATTATTATTATTATATGGAAGCTTATACAACTTCATATTATGCTATTTTAGTAATTAACAATTAATAATTTAAAAAATCGTAACTCACTTGATTTGATTTTGTCGGCCTTCGTACCACAATATCACTCAAAAATTTGTCCAGAAGATTGAATAGTGGCCATGATGACTCTATCACATCATCTGTTCCAGGTTCACGTTTTCCTGCATTCTCTATCTTCTTTTTTTCTGCATTGTAATACGTCCTCATATTTCGCAATTTTGACTTCACTTCTTCAGCTGTGGGTATATAAAAATGTAATAAAATCAACCATGGAATTGTAATATTTAAATAAAAGCTCCCAGCTAGAGCGTGTCTACTGCTAGATACTGTATTTATTTTTTTTTTAACACGCACATTGGCAGTGGTTAGGACAGGCCTAGGCATGACAACATATTTTGATATTTTGTAGGCTTACTAAATATTGTAGACTCTTAAACCTCAAAGAAAAAGAATGCTAATTCTTTAGCTTATGATGTAATGACAAGTATCCCATCATTCCCCAAACTGGAATTACTCTTACAACAAATAGAGATGATAGGAGAGTGACTATTTCCCCCGCAAAAGGGCAGTAGACACGAGCACTCAACAAATACTGCTAACATGTAGACACACACTATAACCTACTAAAAGATAAGCTAAGTCTATAGTTATTTCCTTCACCCCCTGAATGTGAAATTGAGTCACTTATGGGGTGAGTTTATACCTGGGAAAAATAACGATCTTTTTGACTATTATTAATTGTAGAGATGGCAAGGAAAATTTAATATTATTTTATTTTTATACTTTTTTAGTGTTTGAATTCATCTGGAACTATTCATTCAAATCATACCTGGACTTTGCCCAGGAAAATTCTGACACAAAAAATCCATAAATTAGAGGGGGGAGCTTAATACCGGTAGTCAAAATGGGTTTATGGTAAAATGCAAAATAAATTCATTTATCAGCAGTTGATTTAAATTACTGTATCTTAACCTCATCTTAATTATATTTCAAGCGTATGCATTAATGTTGCATTGTAGATAGAACACAAGGAAACTACTGATAATATTTACAAAAAACTTACCAGTAATCCCGATGATTGCACCGATTCTCTCCAGGGCATTTCTCCGTTTCCTTTTATTAAAATAGTCTGAATTATGTATATTCCAAAGTACTTCCTCACTTTGATATAGTTCTACTAACTGTGTAGCTGAAGGCAATGCTTTCTTATGAGACATTTTTCACAGAATAAATGTTATCTCTGTACCTGATTCTGACTGCTCAACTACATTAAACACAAGCTAAAGCTATCAACATTCCAGAGAGGGTCTCCTAGGGGAGAAACCTCCAACAAAAATTGCATCAGCAGTGAAATATTGCTTGCATGAGCAATCACAATAGTTGACCTTTGAACCCTTTCACTGCCAGCTTACACTGGAGTGGAAATATAATTGCATGCAAATTTTTGGAATGGTGACCGGGTCATGGTAGGGTCATGGTAAACTCGCTCTCTGCAAAAGCTATTAACATTCCAGAAAAATATACACTCATTTTATTTCAAAGAGATCTTACATGACCAATTTTTTTCTTCAATTTCATAAAAATTGCACATTTTACATAATTTTTTGTACATTCAATGCAATAATTTCATGCAAAAATTGTTCCATGTATAGGAAAAGCAACCATGTTGCAGATTAGTAGTGTAAACACATAAAAAAATGAAAATTTAAAGAAAAATATAAAATGATAGAATATTTATCCTATAAAAATCAAAATTTCCAGTATTTATACAGTATTTAAACAGATGGTTTTATTAAAATTGTATTTAACTTGATTGACCTACTGGAAGCTGGAATCTAGCTTAAAGATTATATGAATCCCAATAGATGTAAGCCTTCAAAGCTCTTGAGGGTATCTAGAAAAATCTTTGTACTTATGGGGATGCATTTTAAAGGTGCTTCTTGCCAAGAAATAATGTTGAATAATTTTTATTTTATTTCTAGTTACTGTAGTATACTTGAAAAAAAAAATCTGCAATGTAACCCCATCTCCAACTTTTTTTCCCCAAAAGAGTATGTAATAAAATTATGATTTACTATCATTTTGAAATGTCATTTTTTTCATTTTCATTTAAAAATACAAACACTTTTTACCTCCTCCCCAGACTAATTTTTTTGAACTCTCGTAAAAATGATGAAAAAATGGATGACCACTAGTGTTTTAAAGTATAGATGTCCTTTAGTCATAACAAAAAACTTGGTATGCATAGAGATTTGAACCTAGGACCCTGGAATTATAAGACAAGCACATTAAGGTACAGTAACTCAACTCCAATGTACTAGCAAGATTTTATAGACATAACATACAGTACTAGACTAAATTCTGGTTATTTTCATTCATACAGAAAATGGTGCAATATAGACAAAGGCAAGCTCCACTATACAGAAAACCGATTGTAAATATTTATTTTCTATATATTTTGGCCTGGTCAATAAAAACACATAATGAGATGGTTTATAATCCTGTTAAAGTTTTACCGGTTAATTTCATTAATACAGGAGGATATTACACTAGGAAAGCATGTGCATTCAAATGTAAGGCCTTGAACATCAACAGGGCAAGAAAGGAGGGGGATTAAGGCTAAGATGCACAGATCAATAAGTCACTTTAGCAAGGACATGAGTAATCAATACTACTCAACACATACTGTAAAAGCCTATAGGCCTGTTTATACTTCAACGATAACGATAACGATATAAAAGCTAAAAAGCAATTGTTCATATAGAAAATGAAAGAAATAAGAGAAGTTTTTACACTAGAACGGTTCGATAAAGATTGATCATTTATGTGATAACATATTTTGACAAATCAAATCAGATGACATCATAATCATGGAAAAACATTAAAATCGTAGTAGTAGCAACGATATTATAGTTTTTTCATGATTATGACGTCATCTGATTTGATTTGTTAAAATATTTTGTTATAGTATACACGATAAATTGTTATCGAATCATCCTAGTGTAAAAACTTCTCTTATTTCTTTTGTTTTCTATATGAACAATCGCTTTTTAGCTTTTTTATCGTTATAGTTATTGTAGAAGTATAAACAGGCCTTTAAGGTTGCGACTCCTTCCTGAAGGAAAAATTCAAACTTCTTCCCTGAAGGCAGTTGGTTTGTAAATGCACATACAGTAAGTACAGCACTGCAGTACTACAGTATAACATAGTTCAATTATTATTTTATTGTTTAATTTTTATATAAGGCCCAATAAAAAATATTATTAGTTTATCACCCTCGCATGCATGTTTTTTATGGTATTGAAAAAACATATTTTTATTTTTTTTGGTAAATAGTAGATATTGTTTGTATTATCTCAATCATGTTTTGCTTTGAATATCAATGCACCAGCAAACAACCCAATGGTGATATTTGGCTTTAGCAAAATTTAAAAAAAATAAAAAACCTCTCTCCCTTATCATTTTTCAAGCCTAGATAGGGTGATAAACTAATACAATTTTTGTTGGGCCTTATAGCAAAATGCATTACATTACACTAAAAAATGTATAATTATTGAACCTAAACAAATAATATTTTGTGGTTTTCATTGTATTTAATATTGCAAATGCAGGGTTGAGATGACCAATACTCAATAGTCAATTACTCAATAGATTTATTTGTCATATACACATGTACAATACACATACAATGAAATTCGGTCTGGTTCCCTAACAAAACAAAAAAAAAACAAACATAAAATACAAAAACTACGTAGAGATTCCCGGTCACTAGTGATTGATATCGGCGACCACTCCGCATCAGAGTGAACAAATGGTTGGCCGGGTGATTTCTGTCCCCAGCAATCGCCATTGCCTTTTTAACCATACGGTCATGATAGATTACACCTACCGAAGGCTGCTTGATTCCAATGATGCAGGATGCAGACTTAACTACACGATTTAGGTACTTCTTCTCCTTCTCCGTGGTGTACCCATACCAGATAATAACAGAAAGATTTAGAACACTCTCTATCACTGATTTATAGAATTGACCCCTCACAGGGGTACTAATCCCGAAAGACCTCAATCTACGTAGAAAATAAAGTCACTGCTGTGCCTTTTTCACACACTGATGAACGAAAGTCATTTGTGATATATGTACCCACAAATTTGAAGGAATTAACTATTTCAACAGAATTCTGGATGATTAGTGGTTCTTATATATATATTTTTTTTTTTTTTTTTTTTTTTTTTAAATTTATTTATTTTGTATTTTGTTTACGTGATGAGATTGTTATTTACCGTATATACTCGAGTATAAGACGGGGCACAAAATACCAAATTACAATAAAAAAAAACTGGTGGTCGTCTTATACAATATGCACAACATTCAAATTTTCAATTTTTTAAATCATGTTCTTCTTATGTGCAGATTGTCAGTAACACACAAATTTACTACTGTACTGCAACGAAGCCACAAAATGTTAGTATGAATGAGAAAAATTTTAAATATGGAGAAATAAAAGAGTTTGATGAACATTTAAAAACCCATAAAATTGTATTGTTTGACAGATTAGCCTTGCATTTGGTTAAGTTTGTAACCAGCTAGATGGAGTATCAAGACCACGAAACGGAAGAGGGGGCATCATATATGCCCTACATAAAAAAAATTGTCCAAAAATCTTTTCAAACTTGGGGATGTCTCATACGCAGGTCACTTTATACACAAGTTTCAACCATACACAGGTTGACATATGGAATCTTATCTATAGATAGCCACTCCAGACAGACACCATCAACAATACCGAGGCCTCCGACACTTTATTATCCTTATTATTTTTTTACTACACTATTTTATATAGGCCTACAACAAACATTTTAGAATAGCATTACAGAAATTTAGAAACATTTTAATTTTCACAAATATTATTTACCTATCATTCTGTCTATCAATCAAGATTTGTCAACTTACCATCTTGCCTGCTTGGTAGCTGTAAGTAATCTGAGTCGATTTCCTCTGGTCCTCACCTGTCCGATTATCTGCGAGATAAATAACACATCATAGTGATAACAAATAATAACACTGTGCTAGCAGCATAATTAAATAATCAATATGAAGAAACCAATGTATGAAGATGTACATTTATTAGTTGTTCTGTCACAATTGGCTGTGATGATTAAATATGTGCCCTAATTCACTGTTAAATATAAACATCCCGAGGTATATTAATTGTGGTTGGCTGATGATATGCAGTGCATGGCTTATTTTCAAATACAACTGCTGACAGATACAATTTTAGTTCATTCTCATCCAACAGAGAGTGATCGCCAAACTGCAAGTCCACACCCCATATTATACATCCAAAAATACAGACAAATAGTATAATGTAAACTGCCACATAACTTATGAAATAGGAGGGCCTGGCGATAAAATGAGAGGACATAAGGTTGTACGAGGCGATTTTTAACTACTTGAAAATATAAAATACGTACTTGAAATTATTTTTTTGCTTCAAAATTTTCCAATTGGAAAGTGATTTTTTTTTTTAGTTTTTTTTGTGGGCGCACCCCTAGATGTGCCTATGCTTAAATCTTTACAATTAAATAACATTGGCAGGTATTCGAACATGCAACAGTATAAAAATATATAGCCTTTGATGAGAACATTACAGCCAAAAAAAAAAATACTGCTTTAAACAGAATTTCTGAAATCAAATTGAAGGTTGATGACATTTTCGATAAACACTAATGTACCATGAAGGCTTGTAGTTAATGATAGTTTTAAATGAATGTTTTTTGACAGAAACTGATCACTGATAATTCACAAAAACCTACAAATTACTATCATCAGAGAGGAAATTACTACATAAAAAATATGGTTGTAAAGCGTCACAAGTTGATGAACAAACTGCAAATTTCTGAACGATGTTTGCATCAGGAAACACCATAAGAATGATTTTTATGCCCAACCTGAATGGATACTTAGAATGTCCGCAAATACTTTTGAAAAAATCGCAAGTGATTTGGGTGGAAATCTAACTAAAAATACCATTGCAGTACCTGCTGCTATTTGGGGATAGAATTCAGCCCTAGCCTATAAGCACAAGTACAGTGGTCTAGAGGTTATGATACTACGCTAGCTGGGGGTTATGGCTTTAATTGTACTAGAATCATTTGAATTCTTTTTTACTTGATAACAGAAATCTTTAGTAACATAAGCATCACAAAGCAACAACCAGTAAAGAATCAAGGCATCAGATACAACAATGGCCACACTGATATTTGCTAAGGAGAAATGAACAAATCTGAACAACCTATCACTAAGCAACCATTAATAACGAATCTAAACATCATATAACAATTGCTACAGAGATCTTTAATAAAGAGAAATGAACAAATCTTGATAATCTGTCACTAAGCAACCATTAAGAACGAATCTAAATATTTGTATCAATTGCTACAGAGCAAGACAACAAAGAGGCTGATCGTAAAGCCACAATGTAACAGATACAGTAATTGCTATAAAGATCTTTAATATCTTCCACAAAAACAAAAACCCCGGCTGGGCAGTGACTGCGCACTGACGGTCGTCAGCCAAGGCGATTATACAGAAAACGCAATGCCACAACGCGAGTACAACATCATTTTTTATTGACGATCCGTTCAGACTGCCACCGAAAATCAGTAGACAGCGTCACGCTGTCTAGCACTCATACGAAGCGGAGTTGGATTTGTCGTACCACAATGCAGTTAGTGCCTGGCTTAAGACAAATAAGCAAAAAAATATAATTATAGATTTATACAGTAAAGCCAGAAAATTAATTTATAATTGAAATAGGTATTAAATACTATCTCTATAGTTGGTCTATCTAGAGTAGCAATAAAGTCTACTTTGCAAATTAGGTATCTTACCCAGAGGAGAAGCAATCAACCACTTATCTTGAAGATATGTTCTTAGACGAGTCTTCTAAACACTATTGTTGCTAAATCAAACCTTACATCAAACTAATACAAACAATGCGTACTCTAGAAAATAGATTGCTCAAGTCCGCCGTCAGCTCAACGTGGCAACGACACTGTTCGTTGATGATGTTGGAGAATTTTGTTTTCATTGTACTTTGTACTATACTTATATCAACATGCTTTTTATTGATTGAGCCTGAATTTAAAGATGAAACGAGTTACTGATTGCGTCAGTGCTAAATTACTTAATGAGGTGCACCTAAATACATCTTGATGATTTATAACTTGGCTTACATAGGAACTACAGTATATTAGGAATTTAATGAATGTGTCATAAAAATATTGAGAAAATATTTATATATCCTTCTTGACTATTTAAAATAAAACACCGGCATTTCTATTATATTATACTTTAAGCCTATAGTTACAATCTTAATTGTTTAACAATTTGATAACTAATTTTTACAGCTGATCATCTGAAATCAATTTAAATATTTAACTTTCAATAGTTTTTAGTTGGTTTTGCAGAAAAAAGTACAATATATTCTTTCATATACTATAAGACTAGATTTAAAATAGCAAATTACAATAAAACAGGGTGTCGTTTTATATGCATGGGCAACACATACAATTTTTAATCATATTCGTCTTATGTGTGGACCGTCCGTAACATGCAAACTTACTACTGAAATGAAGCTGGTGCTTTAACTGTTAGTATGAATAATGCAATTTTAAATGCAACAGATTTAATATTCTCCTATTGCATGAGGCAGGTTTTGTTTTATAACTAAATAATAAACACCGTGTATAGATTTTATCTCATTATTATTATTACGGGATCTATTGTTTGAAGTAACAAATGTACATGTTATTGAAAAAACAATTAATATGAATAGTGGCGGATCCAGGGATTCGAAATAGAGGAGTGCAGGGCGGGACTTTTACAAATACTGTAAATCGAAGGTCCTCAATAAGGTAAGAAAAATAATTATTATGGCACCTCTAAATGGCCAGAAATATCACTCTTAGACTTAATTTGAATATAATTGTATATTTTTCTCTTTAGGGGGCTGGGCCATTCCGCCATCCACTGTATCCGCCAGGTGATAAAAGTACTTGTGAAATCTAAATGAAATGTAAATGTTTGTGTTGCATTTAACTGCATGTGTACATCACTAAATACAGTAGTGTGATAATGGTAATTTAAACAAAGACCACTTGTACTACTTCGAGTGTTCCACACATAATTAATAATGGTAAAGTATACATGGAAAAATCTCTACCAACTGCACAATTATTGTTTAAATTTTTCAATCAACACATATTTTTATCTCAAAAAGTTGTTTTTTTCATCTTTTTTCACTTGAAACATCAGGATTTCTTGAAATGTTTACTGGTACAACAAAAACATCTTTTTTAATATAAATTTAATTCCATTTTTTATGACTTTTTATAAATTTGTCCTTAACCATTGATTTACTTGCGAACATTGATAAAATGGGGGCAGGGTTAGCAAAAAACAAAAAACAAACAAAAAAAAAACCTCCGTCCCTCATCAGTTTTGATTCTTTGATAGGGTGATAAGCTAATAATTTTTTTTATGGGGCCTAATGAGGATGCCAGCCTATCTTGGCTAGAAAGGTCTAGTCTTAAAAAGTAGTAGGCTTCACTGAGTAATCCAACCCAGCCCCTAAAGGTCACACAAAGTGTATAATTTTTATTCCAAGCCTCGGAAATTAAAGGGTATGCTTATATAAATGGGTCTAGCATTATGCATACATTATTTAAATTACACCAGGATGGCCCTATACCTGAGAAACTATGCCATGTGTCACAGCTATTGCATTTGGCGAATGTAGGCAAAAATGGCCAGGTAAAAATGGCCTAGGAAAAAATGGCCCTGAAAAAAATGGCCCCAAATGACAAGTAGGTCAAAATGGCCCCAATGAATGTAATTAAATGGTATTGCTAAATCCCACAAACCTCCCAAAACACACTGTAGAAAACCAAACAATTCAATTGTGATTGGCTCACTTGGTATATCAATAAGAAAATTAAATACATTCATAAGAACCTATTTTTTGGTTAAAATGTTGATATTTTTTTTGTGAAAAAATACTTGCAAATACACCACAAACCTCCAAAAACACACCGCGAACCCCATCCAAACCATTTCATTATGATTGTAGAACTCTCTTTTTCTTAAAAAAAAAAAGAATCATCTGATGTTCATATCAACCCATTGTTTGTGGGTTTTACCAATACCCGGATTGAATTTCTGGAAAATTATAATTCCACTTCCGTGAATTTGGCCACAAATAAATTAATTTAGTATTAATAAATGCATGATTTATTGATTATGTTGTTGCTATTTTTTAACATTTAAATGGAAAAAAAATAAAGTGTTATTCATGGCTTTTTTTTATCTTCGAATATTTTATCTTTGAGTATATAATTCCTGCAAAAAGTAAAATATAAATGGCAATTTATTTGATGTTAGATTCCTTTTAAAAACTAAATTATTTCAATTTAAAAAAATGCATTTAATGATTTTTTTTCAAATCAGTTTTAATACAGAATCAATTTTATTATTGGGGGCCATTTTTACCTACCTGTCATTTGGGGCCATTTTTACCAGGGCCATTTTTACTGGGACAATTTTTACCGGGCCCATTTTTCCTGGACCATTTTTTCCGGGGCCATTGTTACCGTACACCGCATTTGGTATGACAGAAGAGACAAAACTGCCAATTCATTATTTAGTCCACAGACTCACATGAGACCTAACAATTTGTTTACATATTCGCTCAATATTATTCAGCAGGACATTGTTCTTCTGACTTCCTTGTTTCCTAAATTTGTTTTAAAGTCAACAATGCCGAATAGCAAACACCCACAGGACAAATAACTATACCAATTAAATTGAGTTTAAGAATACAATTATCACATAAAAATGATAACAGATTATCAACAACAATGATAAAATATGGATTTAGAAAGCACCCTCACTTACATTTTGTTTGGAAGTTGTAGTTGCTCTTGAATATACACTGGTCCGGATTGTTCAAGACATAATGGCTGACAGGGTTACAGCCAGCGTGTGAAATCCAAGCCATATTGATATTTGAATCAGCAAACATTTGACTTACAAAAGTTGAATGAATACATTGCCCTAACAATCTGATCTGCTTCTTAGCAAAGTTGCATGAAATATTTCTGTATAACCAATATATTGAATTTCAACAAAGCAGAAAGCAACCGTAAGTTTTTGGTCTGCAATCTACAGAAAGTATTTCCCAAACAAACATCAAATGTAGATACACTGATTCTACTGTACAATATGTATATTAAAATGTTGTACACTTCAAAATAACACAGTTTATTCAACTAAAAAGTAAACATAAGACAGAACATGGTATGCTGGTGGTATTATCCAACTAGACTAGTACATTCAAGTACTTGTTGATTTAGTGGTCTTTTCTATGTTACTGTTCAGCACAGGTTTTGTTAAGGGCACACTCTACAAATCGCAAGGACATATTTACAAGACAACAAGAATCTGCTGCATCAAAATCAATAAAAACAAGGTCAGAACATAACTGTCTTGGTACAAAGAAATCAAAAATTGATTTGTCCCTATGAGAGGAGTACTGTATATTAAAATGCAGTACATAGTTCTAAATTTAACAACATAGGATAAGTGTATACGGACAAATTAGAGGAGAAATTATTGATGATACTTCAGAGTTAACATCCGGAAAAAACGATCTTATCTAAAAATTACATGGCGCTAAACTCATCCGATGAGATCAGTTTTAAGGAAAATAACTTGTAGAGTAAGAAAAGGAGTGAAAGGTGCTCCTTAGGGTTAGGGGCAGATTTAGGAGGGCTGGACCCGCAAAGAAAAATGCCTCAAAGGTTATTTTTGGGAGTATAGAAAACAAAAATTTCGCAGGGGCATTCCCCAGACCCCCTAGGATAGTGTTGTCTCAATCAGCCCCCCACCTTTTGCTCCCCCTTTTGAACATCTCTGGATCCGACCCTGCTCCTAGTGGATTAGTTATATTCTAACTTCAACTTAGCACTGGATTTAACATGAGTTTAAGAAATGCAACTAGTAAAGTAGGAGGCCCTATTAAATTTGGAAACTATTATTTTACAGAAAAATTGTTAGCGATATTGGAATAAAGTGAAGAACAGAACAAATTGCCAGTATACAGGATGCATAGGGTAGGACAGTATTCTTACAGCCCTATGACAAAAATAGGTCAAGTTCCAAGCTGATGAATTCAAATCACACATTAAAAATAAACTTTGCTGAAATGTGGATTGGAGTTGAATAGCTCAGTGGTTAAGATGCTTTAATCCCAGGGTACTGAGTTCAATTCCTGTCAGAGCAGAATTTCTTCTCATGACCAAATACAACTCCACTCCCTAGGCCTCATAAAAGGCTTGGTTTATAAAGCATCACTCCATCCTTTAAGTGACGAGTGTACTTGCTGTTGGGGACAAGGGAAATAAAAAAAAATAACTTCAATATGTGGTGTAGTGTTCACATACAATGGAGGACACTTCTCAACACAATCATCTCTTAATTACTGAAGCAACAATTACTTCATTCAAGAACACAGTTTAAACAGGACACCATATTGATTGAAACCTTATTGAAAAAATTGATTTATTTCTGCTATTCTTGAAGTGATACTATCTTGAGGAGTACAATGCCTGTGATAAAGAGACAGAGGGCAGCATTCAAAATTATATGGAAAGTACAAAATTAAAATCAATTTTTCTTTCACAAAAAATAGTTTTACAGTACACCCAAATATTATACTGTAGTTATGATATGCTTATATATGGTCATGATGTGATGTCATCATGACCACATTAGCATGTCACATGTTTCATATGAAATTTGATAGTTTAGACAGGACATAACCCTGAGGGCAAATAGTGATTATTATCATCTTTTATCCAAATTTCTTGTCTCAATCTATATTGATTGTTATCATCAAATTATTAAAATTATTATTTGTAATTTGCACATTTAATGACATTCTTTTAAATCATTATTTAAAATAATCATTATATAATATTATTATGATTAATTACATTATTCTTTTAAATGCTATATTTATATTACTTATGCGATTCTCATACTAAATGCATAAGGATTGGGAGGTCTGTGGTTGGAGCCCAAAACCTTAATGCATGGAGCTAAGTATAATATAGCTTCATGGTTAATGTTATATTATGCATATTTCTTACAATGATACTTCAAATTAATTGACCGTCAATGTATTGTATGACTGATGTGAGGTCAATATCACCGAAGAAGTGTACTATATACACCACCAACATCTACAATATGTATCTAAATCTACAGATCAAATACAATACTATAATAACTTCCGTTGTTGTCAAGCGTTGTTCACAGAACAACAAAAAATAAAACATCTGCCGCTGAACGTGCACAATTTAATGTCCAATCGTCATTCAGCTTTTATAACAAAGAATAGGAAGTTGCTTTACTACGCGTACAATTGACAGCATTACGATAATCATTATCATTATTTCTTAACAAATGTAATCTTGTTAGGAAATGTCAGACTTGTTGAGCCATACTAAATGTATCCTCAATGTTTTTATCAATGAACACCTATCAATCAAAATTTGGGATACTTTGTAATATCATTTTTTCAATTTATGGTATCTTCTTCTTCTGTTTAGGAGCAAACTTCATTGCTACTACTCCACTGGCTTTAGCATTAGCAATTCTTATGGATCATGGGGTCCACCACTAAGATCTGAGTCTTACTATAGAAGAAGTCAAACATGTATGACAATTCTAGATTTATTTTACTAATTAATTGAATTTAGATGATCTGTCTAAAAAGATGTAATTCCTATGTGCTAATGAGAGAAAAGGACAATTGGAGAGTTACTGAAAAAATTAGATGCATGTAGAATATAAACCCCCCTGGATACATCCCAGGCCTACATCCACCACCGACAGGCGATCCCAACCAAGGGACCAACTAGAGCCTGTCATTGTTCCAGGGTAAAAAATCCCTGGTAGGTTTTACAGCCTGGAGAGCATTTTAGTATTTTCATTTAGTATGTTCCAAATTGTGCTTTTAGCACTTACACAGCAAAGCAACGAAAAAAAAAAAAAAAAAACTCCTGCATGATTTTGACATGAATTTGAATCTGCTCCTATAATCTGTGGAGAAATGAAATTTGTAAAAAGACACCAACCAACCTGGATCCAATTTATGCTCCTGGAGTGCCTGATTTTCGTATTCTGTATCTGATGCATCACTGAGGGTGTACCCATAATTCTTCTCCCAATCTTCGTACACAGGTGCAGAACGATATGTTTCATTTTTCCCTAAAAAAAAACAATATAGGTTTACTTATGGCAAAAATTCACATGTGGAGTTTTAGAAACTGAAGCCAATCAATAATATTAAATCAAATATCGTAAAAAAGCCAAAATTAGTAGTATTAATAATGTTTGGTTTTTATATTTTTTTATTTTAAAATGCTTTAAATAATTTTTTTATTTATTCACTCAACCAAATTTCATGAAGATAGCATTAACAGCAATCCTGAATTAAATATACAGTATTTACAACAAGGCATCACTGTATCTGTGTATAGACCATTAAATGTGCAATCATTTCCACTCCCTGTGGAGTATTATAATTTGTGCTACTCAGTGTACTGTATGTCAATGTATTAACTGACCAGGAAGATGTAAAAAACTATTTTTTACATCTCTCTCAACAGACTAAAACATTCAATGCAACATTATATATTTACCGTAGTAAGCTACCTATTAAGTTGTGGCAAAATTGGCAATGCAATTTTACCTCCACTCCCACCTCCCTACCAATTTCAATTTCAAGGTTGCGAGACTGGTACTACACAGCGCCAATGCATACAAAATCAAGACAAGATATCATTTTCAGACAAAGTTGTTTTTAGTACAGCCAGATTGTTGTGTGATTGATAAGGGTGGGCCATTTTTACCAACATTAATCAAGAAATCAAGAATGAAGAAAAATCTTGCTACAAGTTTACCTGTATAGTAACCATAGTGCTTCAAGTGGTTGCGCATAAAACTTTCATAGGGATTCTGTAGAATGAAAAACAATAATTACTGCAGAATCAGCTGTCAAGTCTCATAGATTCAAATAATACATTGATTTATCAGTAGTAGTAGAAGGCAGTTTTAATATTAAAGACTAATACAGATTCCAGACTTCTCACATATTTGTGGTGTCTGTAAAACAAGCATCCTTGACAATTCTTTTACAGTATATTTCGTTATAATCCCATCTCTAAATGAAAAATAACACAAGACATACCTTTGTATTTTGTACACGATTCTTAAAACCTTTTTCCAATACCCCCGGGTGTTGGCTCCATATAGATAGATTAGTAAAGAAACACTCCTCATAATTTCACAACCGAATAAGGTGTACTAAATTTTTAGATATTTAATTTTGAAACAGCTTAATAGAAAGATAAGCAAGAAATAAGTTGGTCTGCATTTTTGGAGTTTTTTTTTTGTTTTCTAACTAGGGCATAGGATATCCTCGTCTCTTTCCTATTTTTTAAATATAATTATATATTCTACGAATTATCAACGTGACACCCATGAATTCTCCAGTATTCCGTTTCGGTTTCAATAACTTCCTATACAGAGAAAAACGTGGGTCTTAAATTTTGGGGTTTTGTAAATACTGGTAAAAATTATAAATCTTGCAGTGCTATACAACAAGGCGCCATCTTCAGCAAGGCCTACCTACAAACAAGTTGCTCATATTTAAATTTACCGTCACTGTCAACACACTTACCATGTCATACTCAAAATCAAATTCCTGATTACTCTTCCGGAGCATCATGATGTGATGTTGTCTTACACAGAATTAACTTCGGGAATGAAGGTGCATGGAGCTATTCATAACAGAACCACAACTAAAGCGAGTTGTACCAGCTTAGGCCTAGGCTAGGCCTACCTTGGCCACGGTTTATAACAAAAACAAACCCAGAGCAGAGAAGTCCAGCACAACCCCCGTACCTCATTCGATGCTGATCGTCTGATTGAACTGAAAAAGTTGATGGACCTTGGCTTCATAAACCAAATATTCTACATGAAAAAAGAAAACATAAATCTCACTGTTGCATTGGTATGCAATTAATAATCGATATCGTAAGCTTTGTCCAATACATTACGACGAAAGTTCACAAACTTCTGGAAACAGTGCCAGAAGGCCCTAAATCGACACTCACTGCAATCAAAGATACTAGAAATACAAGATAGAGTTCTCCACACAAAAAAAGTGTTCCACCGTGTTCCACCGAAATGCATGGTGGGAATATGAAAAATGGGACGCCCCCTACAGCTGGATCTAAAAAAACTTGTGCTTCGTAGGATGAATATATATATATATATCTGTCTCTTATACACATCAAAACAAACTGGAATAGACACCCAGACAGTGACATCGGTGAATACATAACCTCCTTGGTGGCGGTAGAAATCGTTGCTATTATCCAAATAATACACAAAACAATTAAAGCATAATCATGAATCAGTATTAAGAATAAAACAACAATACAGCGCAGAATCGCATGGCCGGACGCACTTAGTAAAAAAGTTTTCCTCCATTAGTGGAAAAGGAAGGGCGCCTTTTGCGTCTGGATATACTTAGCAACAGAAGGGCGCCCTGTACGTTGGGCACGAAGTATAGGAAACTTGCATGGTTAAAAAGAAGGGCGCCGCCTACGTTGGGCACGACTTCCGCCTCATTTTTACAATGCGAGAACTCTATCTTGTATTTCTAGTATCTTTGCTGCAATTCATTAACGAACAGTTGGGATTTTAACCACCCTCTCACGAAATGTAGCGTTCCTAAAAACCTAGCAACAAATGCTGCTGCGCCACCAGTGTGTGGAGATAAACCACACAATGTGGTCATGATAAATCATAGATACACAAAAGCGTGTTTCTACTACTAACATTACTAATACTAAATTAACAATCTGAGGCCGTGGTTTAATTACTTATAGCACAGAACATTATTGAACGCTTACAAATAATTAACTACATTAACGTGAACTCTCACACATGAGATCATTTTGTTACTAGGCCTAATTAAATCTGATTTGATATAGTGATTTTAATTAATTTATACAAAAAAAATTAATTAATTAATATTAGACATACACTGACATATTAATGGAAATAATTTAAGCCATACTCAACAGGCTTAAACAGGCGTATAATATATGTAATTAACTCTCACGCATGCGATCATTTTGTTACTAATTAAATCTAATTTGATAGTTGACACGTAGGCCCTATAGTGTACAAACGTATTTATTAAGTTAAGGATGTGCTTACTTATGAAAAGTACGTTCGTTCTGTACGTAGTGACTACAGTCGAAATAAATGGGGAGGAAGGGGAATGGACAAAGTAAAACTGAGGTGAAATTAAATGTTTAGGAAGGCAACTTTGAAGCGACAACAGATCTATTATCTTTTGGAGGAAACGGCGCTGGACCTCATGTTCGGGGTGAGGAGGAGGGAATATTTTGGGGCGGACGCAGGATTTGGTGACAGGGGATGCATGAGAGGGCGCAGATCTTTTATTGAAAGGTGGGGGGAGGCGACATTTGCATGGTGAGTCCACTCCATACTCAATCAGCCATGGTTGGGTCTGAGGTGGGAAAATTTGAGGAAATAGTACATCTAGATGGCCGGAAATGGCACTTTTATTATAGTAAAGTTCATTATCATCACATCATCATTATATATAGTCAAAATGAAGATCCAACAAATTTCTCATGATGTTTTATCAGGGATTTTCGGCAACCATAGCGATCAAATTAAGATGTGTGATGTATCATATAATATAAAACTAAAAGACACTGTCTTTGATGTATTTACTTTACTTTACCTACTTCAAAAAGCCGTGAGTCCACACCACTTCAGCCCCACCATGGTTGAGGCTTAGGTGAGAACATTTGAGGAAATAGTAGGCCTACCTCTGATGACCGGAAATGACACTTTTATATAGTAAAATTCATCATCATCAGTCACCATTATATAGTCAAAATTTCTCATGATTTTATAAGTGATTTTCAGCAACCATAGAGATCTAGTAATTAATAGGCCACATTATAGTAATTATAGGCCAATTAATGTATCATAGAAAATAAAAATGAAAAACACTGTCTTTGATGTATTTAATACTTTACATTAACAAAGCCGTGAGTCCACATCAACCTCAGCTCCACCCGCGGTTAGGGCTGAGTTAACATTTTGAGGAAATAGTACTTCTAGATGGAGGAAATGACACTCTTATAGTAAAATTCATCATCATCACATCACCATTGAATAGTCAAAATGAAGCGCCAATAAATTCTCATGATCTTTTAATCTTTATCAGCGATTTTCGGCAAACAGAGATCTATAATTATATCAGTCTCGTGATGTACCGGTACCATAGAAAATAAAACTTAAAAACATTGTCTTTGATGGATTTACTTCAAAGTCCATACCCCATCTCAGCCCCACCATGGGGATAAAAGGTGGGAAAATTTTAGGAAGTTGTACGGTACCTCTCGATTGCCGGAAATGACACTATAGGCCTATAGTAAAATTCATCATCATAGATCTATAAT